GAAAAGACTCTGATGCTGGGAAAGATTGAGGACAGAAGGACAAGGGGGTACAGAGGATGAGATGGTTAGATAACATCAGTAACTCAATGGACATGAGTTTGAGCAAACTCCTGGGAGATAAGTGATGGACAGGGAAGCCTAGCGTGCTGCAGTCCATGGGGTCGAAAAGAGTCGGACATGATTTAGCAACTGAACAACAAAACCTCAATTTTTGTAATCTCATCTTGGCATTTAAAAATTTTGAAACATATAGACATTGTCAAAAAGTGGAATTGACTCAGACCTTTCTCAAACTCTGAGAAGCAAGCTGTAGTTTATAATATCCCCTAATATGCTGATTTATCCCACTTTCACCCATTTCATAATTTTTGACCCTTCGATTATATATAACTGCACTAGCCCAAGCTCTAACCTCTAACTGAGTAAGAATCTCTGTAGATGGGGCTCAGAATTATATATACATTTTTTAACTTGCAGGTGATTTCAATGTGCAGCCTCTCAGCATCTCATTCCTCAATTTTCACAAGAATGTAGCCATTACATTTGGACCTGTGACTTTAATGTTTATTGGGATATGGTTGATTTACAATGTTGTGTTAGCTTCAGGGGCACAGCAAAATGAATCTGGGCCCATGTTTTAAATTGCTTCCTTAACCTCTCCACAGGCTCCTCCCACTCAGAATGCCCAAAGTGAACCCATCTTTCCCTCTAGACCTTCCATCTACGTTTCCAGAGCCAGAAAAATACAGATTCCTTGCTCCTTCCCTCTGCTCTCCACCAATAGTCATGCTCAAGTGCTCTTCATTCCTGTTCAACATTACTGGAATTCCTGCACCTCTCATTCTCACAGTTTCTCTAGCCTCTTAATTGATTGACTACCTATCACTCATTTTCCACACTGGAACTCACCATCCTGCTTACAGATCTTTCTTTGGCTCTCTCACTGAAAACAGAAAACAAGACTTCTTTAAAGACTAAAGTATATAAAGACTTGCATGACTTGGGATTCACCTCTCTTCTTGATCCTAAACTCTAGCCATTCATGTAGCTGTCCAAACTCAGGATGCTTTCCTTGATTTTGGTCCTTGATTTTTGGTCCATGCAGCATTTTATACTTTGCTCTTCCTCTAACTTGGAACTCTCATCTCAGATACATTCTCCTAGTTGTGGAAGGCTTCTGTGACATCTTTATCCCCCGCTCCCTACTCCCTATAGGCGTGTTGCCACTCTACAGTGCCATTTATCAACCTAGATTGTAATTGTCCATTTATCTGAGCTCGCTATCCGTAATGTATATTATGTAGCAAGTTGGAAGTCAGTGTTTAATGAATGAAGACATACTTAGCCATATGTATCTCAGGGCCTACTGGTTTTTCAGTGTGTTAGTCACTCAGTCGTGCCCAACTCTTTGCGACCCCATGGACTGTAGCCCACCAGGTTCCCCTGTCCATGGAATTTTCCAGGCAAGAATACTAGAGTAGGTTGCCATGCCCCTCTCCAGGGGATTTCCCGACCCAGGGATTGAATCTTTCTCTTGTGCTGCAGGCGGATCTGCACAGTCTGAGCCAACAGGGAAGCCCAGACTCCTGGCTCTTCACTAATGTCTAAACTCACCCCACCAAGCTCCGGCGTGACCTCCGCAAGGCCACTTATGGAAGACTCTGAGAGCTCTAGTTCTCACCTTGAAGGGAGCTGCATCTGATCAGCTTGTCAGCTTCCCCTGGGGAATCAAGGTGAACCCCCAGAGGAGAACTTTACCTGAAGAGACGGTAGGGAGGGAAGCCTGAGGAGACTGTAACCACCATCTATTTTATGAACTTTGGAATGGAAAACCATGGAAGGCTTCGGGAATGCTTCCCACAGGGCAGTGCACATTCCTGGGCAAAAGCTTTATAAACCTTTATTTATTTTTTAATAAACCTTTAGAAGCAAACTTTTAAATTTTTAGAACAATGTTAAGAGTTTCACAAGATAGATACCTTATAGTGAATACGTTCTAATTTTTCTACACTTCCTTTTAGGACTGTAAGTTGATTTTCATTTGTCTTGCTGAAAGTGGAGCAGATCCTTGAAATGTAGAGGTTTAATGTTTTTGTGGGACTTCAGAGGTCCCTGTGGAGAAAGAAATGGCAGCCCACTCCGGTATGCTTGCCTGGGATAATCCCACAGACAGAGGAGCCTGGCGGGCTACAGTCCGTGGGATCAGTCGGACACCACTGAGTGACTGGGCAGAGTTCCCTGACAGATGCAATAATGTATCATTTTGCTGAGTCATATATAATTTTGAATCATGAGGAAGGTAGACTCCTGGGGATCTCTGTCCCAGCCCATCATGTCACAGCAGCCCCTTAAAGGACTGAAGGAAGGATGTTGAAAGGATGGAGTTAGACAGCGTCATACTGAGTGAAGTAAGAAAGAGAAGGAGAAATATTATATGATATCTCTTACATGTAGAATCTAAAAAGAAATGATACAAATGAACTTACAAAACAGAGACTCACAGACTTAGCAAATGAACTTACGGTTGTGTGGGGAGCAGTGTGGGGAGGGCCAGTTAGGGAGCTTGGGATGGACATGCACACACTGCTGTATTTTATTTTAAATGGATAACCAACAGGACTTATTGCACAGCACATGGAACTCTGTTGAATGTTATGTGGCAGCCTGGATAGGAGGGGATTTGGCAGGGGAAGAATGGATACATGCATATGCATGGCTGAGTCCCTCCGTTGTTCACCATCAGCTACACCCCAACACAAAATAATACGTTAAAAAAATAAAGGATATTGAAATGTTTTGGGTACGTTAGACTGCCCCTATTGGAGGAAATTACACACCACCTGCTATTCAAGATTGCAGGATGCAGCTCTGACAAATGTCAGGGGTCTACTACCATGTTATAGCTGTCAGAAAAACCACTGCTGATACTTCACACGAAGCCCAGTAACGGGAATCGAGCAAATGACTTGTACCAGATAAGTGGCCTTCCCGAGAACCAGGCTCGAAACAATAAACCCTGACAATGCAGCTGATTTTGTGGGCATGAGAGCCGTGAGAAGTGAAGGCGTCAGGAGGCCAAACTTCAAGAATGCTCCTTCCTTCAGGTAGGACTCCCCACAAGGTATTACCCACATTAAGCTTCTGGAAAGAGAGATACCCATTTCTTCACGATGTATAGTCCACGAGGAGGAAATGACTTGGCTACCGGCTGCCTTCCAACCCAGTGGCTCACAGAACACAAGGTTGTAAAGGTCGCAAACTCCAGGGTTAAACAAACCCAGCTTGGAATTCCAGTGGTGTGACTAACCAATCAACTATGTGACCTTGAGTAAATTAGTTTATTTTCTGAGTGTCTTTCTTCATATTCAGCGTGACAACTGTAACATGAACATCTTAAAAATTGTTGAAGTGGAAGCCAGGCAGCGTTGAGCTCTCCGATCTCAGGACCCTGGACAAAGAAACACACTCAGCAGACAGGGGCTGCTCCCTCAGGCCAGGAATTGGCATTGCCCTCCTCGGAGGCCTCCAAGCCGCTTCCACCGCCTTGCCCACCTTCTCCCCTCCTTGAACTTTGCAGAGAAAAACTAAACTAGCATTTTCAGTGTCCTCACGTCTTTCCAAGGTCTTCCAATCACCTCTCAGTTGCTTATGTTCAAAACACAGAATTTGAATCCCTGTGTGGATCAGCTAAGAGCCTGAGAATTTAAATGGGCAGGTGAAATTAAGTTCAGTCAAACATCTGGAAATCCATGCCCAGTTTTTCTCGCAGTTTCTCATGAAGATCAAGTTCCCCAACTCCCAAAAAACAAATCACCGTGGGGCCAGTTCTCCACCTCTTCCCGCCGCCTCCTACTCAGTAGAAGTGAATCAGACAAACAATCTGACTTTTTAAAAATTATTTAATTTAGTAGTTTTCTTGGAAAAAAAAATTCAATAAGGCAAAAAAAACTGAAAATATATATAGTTTTGTTTTGCTTCCGTGTGACTTTATTTCACCGGAAGGACTCGAAGCCTCTTCCTTGAGCAGGAATCTGAGGATCAGGCTGGAAACGTAGTGCAGATGGAGGAGGCAGGGGGTGGGGGGACAGAGCAGGGAGTTCAGTCCCACCAGCCGAAGCACCCACCCCAGGAGCGGGTCACTGCTTCCGTGGGGCTCCCTGAAGGTGGCAGCCCCGCCATAACCCCCCGCTCGTGCTGGGAAGCGAGTCCCCGGAGGCAGCTCCCCACGGCCACCAGGGAGGGCAGGCGGGGAAGGAGCAGGCCTGGTTCCCCGGCAGAAATCCAGTTTCCCTGCGGGGACGGCTTCCCCTGGAATGATTCCCCGCAAGGACCCACGCTGGCTGAGGCTCGGCAGTTAAGGAGCAGAAACAGAGAACACCAACGAACAGCAGACAAGGAAGGCACCTCGATTTGTGATCCTCAACCAAGGGTGGGCGGTACGGAGTCAGATTTCTGACCAAAGACAACTGAAACAAAACAAATACGGAAAAAAGAAGGAAATCTGGGCCAGACAGGAGCGGTTCTCTTACCAGCCCACGAGGCGGGGCTTGCAGCCCCGGTTCCCAGGAAGGATCAGCTATGCGGCGGCGCTGCGCTTAGGCAGAGGCAGGCTGCAGCCGCAAACGCCCCTCCTGCCCGACTACCCACACTCTCCCCAGTGGAGGAGGACAGAACGCTGGGCAAAGGGGCAGGGCTTCGTCCTCCAGAGTCGGGTGAGGAGAGCGGAGCTGAGACAGCAGTGGGCGCCCAGGATGCGACCCGCAGACACAGACCCTGCCGGGTAACAGCGGGACGTGTCCGCTCAAGAGGGCTCCCATCCGCACTAGTGTGTCCGAGAGTCCCTGGGGGACAAGTGAGATCGGAGAGCAAGATTCTTAATGGGAGGGAGGGAAATCAAACAGAAAATTCGGACTTTTCTCTACATACATATAATATACAGGTATTTAACACGTTATTCCATAAGTGGCTTCAGTCCGTGGGTTCTGAGAGATGGTGAAAACTCACTCGGAATAAACGCCTCTTCTCAGATTCTGAAGTGTGGCAGAATGGGGCAGGTAATGCTTTGTTCCTGGAGGCAGAAACCTGAGCGGGTACTGTGCCCAGAGATGGAGAGAGAGCGAGAGAAGACAGGAGAGGGGAGCAGAAGGCGGCGGGGACGGTGGGGTGAGGGGGCGGGAGAGCGCGGCGGCCAGCCGTGTCCACACGGCCTCGTGCTCCGGGTTCTCCGAAGCGCTCTGCCTGAGCGAGTCCGTAAAGTCCCTTGTGAGGACAAGGCAACCCTCCTGCGACGCCCGAGCGGCCTCAGTGGCCATCAGCAAAGGTGGAGAACAGCAGCGGGGTGTGCTAACAAACGAAGACACTGCCAAGCATGATCTCTGCGCTTCCCGGTCCTGCAGACGAGCCCCTCGCGGGCGCCTCGTGCGGCCTGGCCGTCTCCTGCGCTGTGCCTCGGCTCCACCACGGCGCTCACGATGATCCGTGGCCAGGTCTGAACGTGTTTCTTTTTCGAGGGAACCGCTATGGTCAGCTCGTGCTGCACAGGGCCTGGCTGAGCGTCTGCTCCGGGGAGGTGGGGGTGGGGGGTGGGGGGTGGTGAGGGCCAGCATCTCGGGAGTTGGGTGGGGCCCTCGACTCCGGAGAAGTGGGGGGGCGCCTCCCCGACAAGCACGCAGGGTCCAGAATGTTGATTTCAGGGTCAATCAGCTAAGGCAACCAGCCAATCACGACCAACCGGGTCTGCTTCTGGTGACTGATTCGCAACAAGTGATTGGTTAAGACAGACGAGCTCGGGCAGGCAGCGCCGGCAGCAGTCCGCGAGCTCCTCCTCCTCGGCGGCTCCTTCAGAAGATGTCGGGGCACGAGTCCCAGTCCTGCCGCTCCTTGCACTCCCAGTAGCCGCCGCGGTAGATGTGCGTCAGCTCCCGGGTCACCGGGTCCTTCCTGCGCTCGAACCACAGAGCCTTGTAGGGGTCGTGGGCCGTGCCTGTCGGGCAGCAGGCAAGGAGGCGGGATCAGGGCCATGGGCTGCGGGCGCCTCCCTCAACCGGGGTGCAGACACACGGGCCTGCCCCTCAACCGGGGAGCGGACACGGGGGCCTGTCCCTCATCGTGGCGCGGACACGGGAGCGCCTACCTCAACCGGGGCACGGACATGCCGGCCTGTCCCTCAACCGGGACGCAGACATGCCGGCCTGTCACTCAACCGGGGCGCGGACACGGGGGCGCATCCCTGAACCGGAGCACGGACACGGGGGCGCCTCCCTCAACCAGGGAGCAGACACGGGGGCCTGTCCCTCAACCGGGGCACGGACACGCGGCAGAGGCGCCCTTACCGTCCTCCGTGGCCCTCACGGCCTCGGCCTCGCGCTTCTTCCTCGCAAGCCGCTGCTTCTCCTCCAGGCGCTGCTTCTCCGCGTTCGCCTCGTCCCAGCGCCCGTTCTCCATCAGCCTCTGGTCAGGCCGCAGCCGGCTGTCCGTGGGCGCGGTGCCGGCCTCCCAGGCGTTGAGGGTCAGAGCCAGCTCGGAGAAGTAGTACATGTTCTCCGCGTTCTTCCTGCAAGGCAGGGGTCAGGAAGGGACGGGCACCGCTAGAGCCCAGAGCCCCGTGAGCTGAGCTCACGCCAGGGATACAGCCCCAGGTGTCTAGAGTCTGTGGGTGCGCCTAATTAAGAGACCTGGCGGACCCGTCCCCTTCCAGGACACTGCCCACCCTCCCCTCAGGGCCCCCCACCTGGACGGTTGTCTGGGTGTGGGATATGCTCAGTTGAAATTAGGAAGACTGAAACATTCTACTAAGTAAAACTTCAAATCTGTTTCCTTTTACTTTTTACTACTTTCTGGGATAACCTTGGCTATCACTAGGACTGAAAATATTAAATGACGACAGCAGACAAACAGTCTCCACCTTAATTATTTCCAAAGTCCTGGACATTGTCTCAGGGACCATCATATCGCCATGAGCCTTTAGGCCATAGGTAGTAGGCAGCTTTCTCCCTTGGCCCTCTCTGAACAGTTTTGCTCTAAATTACAGAAGAATATTCTTCTGAATCACAACCTGAAGAACTGCTCTGGTGTGTGCATGCTCAGTCGTCGGGTCTGACTGTGACCCCATGGACTGCAGTCTGCCAGGCTCTTCTGTCCATGGGACTTCCCAGGAAAGAAAATACTGGAGTGGGCTGCCATTTCCTTGTCCACCAAAGGAACTTTAGGAGACACCAAATCATTTTTGGGCAGGTGTGGTCTGAGTCATTCCAACTCTCCTGGGACAAGGCGCGCAACAACCCCACCCCCACAGGGCCCAGCGCTGGTCCGCGAAGACAAGCGGGAGGGCAGGGGAGGGACGCCGCCGCGGCGATACTCACGGTAGAGGGTTCCGCTTCCAGAGCAGCACCCTGCTCTCCTCCGCGTCATGGCCGCGCTGCCGGGCGTCACCCCCGTTCTCCCCGGGGACCGGCTGCGATTTGAAGCAGTCCATTTTCTCATCCCATGTGCCCAGCAGCACGAAGTGAACTCTGCCCGACGGGTCGGTCACCTCCCCCGTCACCTAGGGGTGGAGAGCAGGCTCGGGAGCACGGCGGCACTGGGGGTGCGCCCCAGACGCCCGGCCCTGGGGCAGGCTGCTTGCGCCCCGCTGCAGACTCGGGGACCTGCTGGACTTACTCCGTGGGAGTGTGCTTGAACTGCTCAAAGGGACAGCGTCATGAATGGGGGCTTCGTTACCATTTTGTGGTGCAGGGCTTTTTGTCCTAACGATGTACACAGGAGAAAGGTCTGACAGTACTCGGGATTATGTTGTGCTCTTCTCCCCAGAAATCAGAGAGACCACAGACGGACCTGTTCACTCTCCCAGCACAACTCCCGGCACAATTCCGCTGCGCTGGTAACAGAAGCCTCGCTCACACTTCACAGGGGCCGCACCACCCGTGCCTTCTTCCCGCAGTCCCCTCCTCAGTCCTGCCACAGCGGTTCCCATTTTCAGTCTCTCCCGGTTCTGTTTGTCTGTCTGTTTGCTACATTCACTCAGCTTGCAGGATCCTAGTTCCCCGACCAGGGAGAGAACCTGGGCCTACAGCAGTGAGCGCACCCTCGGCACTGGGCCAACCCTACTCCCTCGCTGCTCTTGACTCTCACTTTCTAACTTACTGCCTTTCACTGAGGTTCTCCTTTACCTCTCCACTTTTGAGCGCACACACATCCATCTATGCCAGCTGCAAGGGAGCAGACTTTCTGCAGGACACACACTAGGTGAACAACACTTTAATCCCGACTTCTTACCTTTCTCGCGACATCCCGAGAGAAGTAGCTATAAGGAACAAATTTCAGATTGCACTTGTCCCCTGTCTTGTGATTCACGATGTCAATCTCACCAGACTATGAAAAGAACAGAACCATGGACTGTTTTATTAAGACTGAATGACCTGGATATACGCTAAGCCCCACGCCTCATAATTCTTTTCAGTCTTATGTTCTTGCACTCCTACACTTAAGATTCAGGTCTCAGTCATTCTTGAGATGCTGTAAAATGCTTTTATCATCTTGGTATTCCTGATTGGAATCAAGGCCAAATGACCTTTTTTTAAAAAAACTGTGTGCCGCGTTAGGTGGCGTAATTCGGGCTTTGGCATGCACGCTGACATTCACATTATAATTTACCTTCCCAAACTGATCCTCCACTCGTACCCTTCATGAACTCTGTGCTTAAATCAAAGGGTTCTACTCCCAGCTTCAAGACTACACGTGGTGGGCCTTTCTGTATTTTATTCATTTCACTCTCTCCTCCTTTCCATCTTGTGAACCCCAATCCACTCGTGAAGACTCAGCTTCATTCCCACACCTACTGTGAAGCCTCTCCCACTGTTCGGACAATATTCCCTTTTTTTCTAAATTTACTGCAACCATTGTCTTAAGAGCAAATTGACAATGAATTAGGTATTATCTTAGCACAGCTCTTATGCAGGTCGTTTTGCCAAACACTTTTCATCCTACGCATATCTGTCGTAGGTCTCCAATGGTAAAACAGCTCTTGAGGGACAACGCCCCATCTGACTTGGTGCCCCAAAGACCCCAGGCTCCACCCGCCAGTAAATGCGTGATGCGCAAGGAGAGGACAGAGGGTGGGAGCCGTGCTCGTCACTCTCTCGGAGCCTCCCCGGCGCCTGAGAGTCCCAGGAGAGCAGCCGCCAGGAACGTGGGGACTCCGTCATGTGCAGACAGTGATCTGTGGCACGAAACGTCGGCAGTCTGGGGGTGCGGTGACCGCCTGAGAGGAGCCGCTCCGGTGAGACTGAGGAACCAGGAGCGGCAGTCAGGGTCAGGTCACACATCCTGAACACTTTAAAGACGGACGAAAGGATTCCTCTGAACTTCAGAAGCGCTGAGAGGCCCTTTGCTCACCTGATCAATCCACAATTTGCCCACGATGATGTTGTGCACTGTTGTAGTCACTTTCTTCCAAGTGTAGTGGTGCCCAGTTGCATGGAAAATACAGTGGATGCTACCTAAGAGCAGAGAGCGGTACACATGCTAAGCTGAACGTTACAAACCAGCACCAGGCTGGCTGGAAACAGTGATGGGTTGATTTTATTCTACCAATATTTCTTACTTTTAAAAAGAAATCAGTACATCAGAAAGGACTTACAATCTTTACAAATGTTGAAAGTACCGAATTTTTTACTTGCTTTTTAAATTTGTTAAATATGAATAAAATATAATTAATGATGATGAACACTGACAAATGATACAGCTTAACTGAGAAATAATATTCTGCAACAGTAGAAATAAAAATGAAAGCAAAAACCCCAGACTTCTCACTAACTATGCCTGCCATACTAGCAGCAAAATTAACAACAGGTAAAATCTACCCCAACATGAAAAAAAAAATCTGCCTTGAGGAAAAGAGCACGTTGGTGGTCAGTATTGAGGACAAGCCCCAATGTGAGTAACTAGCTATGTGACTTTAAGCAAGTCACCGGTCCATACATGGACCTTTTTAAAAATAATCCTTTAGCATTTTTTTTTAGCCTTTACTGCATCTGTTACAAAACTGCTTCTGCTTTATGTTCTGGTCTTTTGGCCTAGAGGCATGTGGGATCTTAGCTGCCGGACCAGGACTGAACCCACAACCACTGCACTGGAAGGCCAAGTTTTAACCACTGGGCCATTAGGGAAGTCCCTACCTTTGAGCCTTAATAGAAAAAAAAAAAAATAAAGAGGAACAGTGGATAGACCAAGGGCTCTAGAATCAGAAAGAACTGGTTCACTGGCTGTACAACTCATTGGATGTGTAAGCCTGTGTCGTACAATAAAGAATTTGTCTGGTCTTTGTCCAACACTTAAGCCCTTGCAATTTCCCCAGTGACAGTGTTGTCTCTGTTACTCGTGAGGGCCCTGGAGGTGTCTGCCAGTGAGGTGCCTCAGCTGGGCCCCTGGACAGCTTACGGTGAGGGCAGGGGAGAAACACCCACCGTGTCATCAGAGAGCAGGAGCTTCCGGCACCGGATATGGGCTGGGCCGGTCTCTCGGCCTCCTGAAGGAGTCATACTCCCCTCCTTCCAAAGAGGGAAGGAGGCAGGACACTGAATCCAATCACGTGGCCAAAGATTCAGTCAACTGTTTCCTTCCAGAGGAAACCCCAGTAGGCTCTCCAGACAACGAAGCATGGTGGGGCTTCTAGGAGGTGAAACACATCCATGTTCCGGAAGCTGCGGCCCTCATCTCACGGGGAGGGGAAAGAAACTCAGGCCAGGGTCCTCCCGAGCCTGCTTCCCTGCGTCTCTCCACTGGCAGGTCCTGACTTTATAGCTCTCACCAGATAGTCTCGGTGAACACCAAACCAAAATCAGGGGTTTGAATGGGAGATTCAAAATAATTTTAAAAATCTCAGAAGACATATATAGTTTTTTCAAAGATTTTTTTTTTCGATGTGGACCTTTCTCCCCCAAGTCTTTATTGAAGGCATTACAACACTGCTTCTGTTTTATGGATCTTTGGCTCTGAGGCACAGGGGAGGTCCCTGACCAGTGACTGAACCCAAACAGCCTAAACTGGAAGGTGAAGTCTTAACCACTGGACCGCCAAGGACATCCCAAGACACACATTACATGTTTTAGTTCCTTCTGGGTCACGGTCCGGGAGCACTGATGAAAGGAGCAGTGCGCGTGGCTCAGGGACGTCCTCCTTGTGCAGAAGGCCGCAGCGGGCACGCCCACAGGCAGCGACGCTGACGGCAGCAGTGGCAGTCGGCGCAGTCTATGTGCTTGCACCAGACACTGCACCGCTCCCCGTCACCCCCCCGCCCAAGCTGGCCTCCCAAGTGTCCTCAGAAACATCTCCTCTGCCCACGGCAGCCAACAGCCCTGCCTTCCCTCCACCACCGCAGCTGCGGCCCCAGCAGCGCTGGCCTGGGCCCCTTCTGGGCCTCCCAGCTTCCATGCTGGCCCTCCTGAAGTCTCTAGGCAAAATGATCTGTCTAAATATACCACGCCAACTTTCCACACCATAGAATCCCTCAGTTCCTCCCACTGCAGTGAGAGGAACACTCAACTCCTTTCCGTAGAATACAAGACCCTCAAGAGCCGCCCCAGAGCCCCGAAACGAGCCGCGGTGGCCTTACCGCTGCTCACGCACGCTATGCTTGCTCGGGGCCCTCGGCTCTGGGCTCTCTCTGCCTGGAACACACTCCCCCAGGCCGTCTCCTGGTTTTGGCTCCCTGTGTCCTCAGGTCTCAGGTCAGGTGTAACCTTCTCAGAGAATCTCCCGGCTCCCCCAGCCAGGGAGACGCCACCCCCTGCCTTCCTCCATCGCTACCCCCAGCCCCCACTCACTCTAGTTTCTTCACGGGACTACCACTATCTAAAATTAAAAGTATTTATTTACTTTTTGTCTACTTAAGAAAAGAATGCAAGCTAAATGAGGACAAAGTGGCTTTTGTTCACCATCGTACACCTACCTAGGACAGTTGCCGGCAGAGAGTGGGCACTCAAATCCCTGCTGATACCTTAGCTGGCAGGCATCGTTAACCCCTGTATCTTCTTCCTACTGCTGCTGGAACCAACTGCAACAAACTCCGCAGCTTAAAATCATACAGCTTACTCTTTTACAGTTCTGAAGGCAGAATCTAAAATCCAGGTGTCAAAGGAGGCAAGAATAAAAAAGGGGGAAAGACAGCCTCTGCAATAAGTGGTGCTGGGAGAGCTGGACAGCACCATGCAAAAGAATGAAATTAGAATACTTCCTAACACCACACACAGAGATAAACCCAAAATGGATTAAAGACCTAAATGTAAGACCAGAAACTAAAACTCTTAGAGGAAAACAAAGGCAGAACCACTCGATGACAAATCACAGCAAGATCCTCTATGACCCACGTCCTAGAGTAATGGAAATAATACCAGAAAAACAAACAACCCAATCAAAAAGTGGGGAAAAGACCTAAACAGACATTTCTCCAAAGAAGACATACAGATGGCAAACAAACACATGAAAAGATGCTCAACATCACTCATTACCAGAGAAATGCAAATCAAAATTACAATGAGATAACACCTCACACCAGTCAGAATGGCCATCATCAAAAAGTCTACAAACAATAAATGCTGGAGAGGGTGTGGGGAAAAGGGAACGAACGCTCTTGCACTGTTGGTAGGAATGTAAATTGATATAGCCACTATGAAGAACAGTGTGGAGATTCCTTAAAAAGCTAGGAATAAAACCACCATGTGACCCAGCAATCCCACTCCTAGGCATATACCCCAAGGAAACCAAAACTGAAAAAGACATGTATGTCAACACTCATTGCAGCACTACCCACAAGAGCTAGGACGTGGCTTCCCTGCTGGCTCTGACAGTTAAGAGTCTGCCTGCAGTGCTAGAGACCCAGGTTCGATCACTGGGTTGGAAAAATCCCCTGGAGAAGGAAATGGCAACGCACTCCAGTATTCTTTTGTTGAGTTAATGTTGAGTTAATTCAGTCGTGCCCAACTCTTTGTGACCCCGTGGACTGAAGCCCACTAGGCTCCTCTGTCCATGAGATGTTCCTGGCAAGGATACTGGAGTGGGTTGCCATTTCCTTCTCCAGGGGATCTTCCCAACCCAGGGAAGTATTCTTACCTAGAGCCTATTACAGAGTGAATTAAGTCAGAAAGAGAAAAACCAATCTCATATACTAATGTACATATATGGAATCTAGAAAGATGGTGCTGATGAAATTATTTGCAGGGCAGCAATGGAGACACAAGAGAACAGACTTCTGGACATGATGGGGGCGGGGGGGGGGGGGGAGAGGGTGGGGTGTCTGCAGAGAGCAACACAGAAACACACATCCCTGTATATAGAACAGATGGAAATGAGAATTTGCTGTAGGACTCAGGGGACTCAACTCGGGGTCCGTATCAACCTCCAGGGCTGAGATGGGGAGGGAGATGGGAGGGAGACTCCAGAGGGAGGGGATGTATGTGTACCTACGGCTGATTCCTGGTGATGTCTGGCAGAAACCAACACAATTCTGTAAAGCAGTTATCCTTCAATTAAAAATAAATTTAAAATAAAAAAAAAAAAAACCAATCAGGTGCCGGCAGGGGCGTGTCCTTATGACATCTCTAGGGGAGAATCTATCATCATGTTTCTTCCAGCTGCCAGAGGCCACCTGCGTTCTTTGGTTTCCAAGGATCACTCACATCTCTTGCTTCTGTTGTCACCGACTGACCTTCAGCCTCTCTCTAATAAATACCCTGTGATTATATCAGGCCCAGAGAAAAATCCGGACCATCTCCCCATCTCCAGGTGGTGATAATAGGTGGAGCACTTGAAGAAATAATGGCCAAAAATTCCCCAAGTTTGATGAAAAATACTCATCTACACATCCAAGAAGTCCACTGAATGCCAAGCAGGATCAACTCAAAGAGCAAGACATACAAACCCACCACAATCAAATTAGAAAGACAGTGTCAAAGAGAATCGGAAAAGCCCAAAAGGAACCGAGGAGTGACCGCATCACAGGCAAGCGATCCGCAGAGACCACGGGGGCAGAGGCAGTGGGAGCACATAGTCAAGAGGCTGAAGGACAAAGGTCGTCAAGCCCAAAAGTCCATGTCCAGCAAAACCGTGCTTCATAGACAAAGGAGAATTCAAGACCCTCCCAGAAAAACAAAACCTGAAAGAATTCATCGTCAGCAGATCTCACCTTCAAGAAATACTCAAGGAAGCCCTTCAGGCTGAAGTGAAAAGACACTAGACACTGACTTAAATCACCTTAAGAAATGAAGAGACCAGTGAGTCCTCAGTCGCGTATGCCTCTTTGCAGCCCCATGGACTGTCGCCCACCAAGCTCCTCTGTCCATGGAATTCTCCAGGCCAGAACACTGAAGTGTGTAGTCATTCCCTTCTCCAGGGGATCTTCTGGACCCAGGGACTGAATTTGGGTCTGCCGCATTACAGGCAGATTCTTTATCATCTGAGCCACCATTAAAAGACAATTGTGTTATAAAACGTAGATGGAATTACAATGCAGAAAAATGGGTTGTATGACAATAAAAGCACAAAGGAGGAAGAACGTAATGGATCCATACAAGGGCAAAGTTTTTATATATTATAGAAATTCAGTTGTATTAATCTGAACTAGATTATTAGAAGGTTTTAATACCCAGGGTAACCACAACAAAAATATCTTTAAAAATCACAGTAAAAGAAATAAGGGAATTAAAATGGTAAGCTAGAAAAATACCTATTTAATACAAAGAAAGAACTAATGGATGAACAGAGGGAAAAAAAGACCTAAGATGTACAGAAAGAAGATACCAAAATGGCAGATGTAAACCCTAACTAATCAATCAGTAATTATAATAAATATAGATGGATTAATTGCTCTAAGCAAAAAGCAGAAACTGGAAAAATGGATAAAATGCATAAAGAGGAATTTTGACCACAGTGCGGACTAGAGCAAACTCAAGGCACATAAGAGGCCGGCGGTCACCGCACAGACCAGCGGGCTGAGTGTGGTTTCATTCAGCCTCAGATGGTGACTCTTCTCAGGTTTGAGAACTCCAACTATGAAAGAATAGTCTTATTTAAATGCATCTCTTTAAACTGCAAGCTGCCACTCAATTCCAAAGTGAATGGATGAGTAAACTCGTATCTATCCTCTACTACAGTCTTCATAATTTTGCAAACATCAATTACATTTCCTAGAAGCATTCTTTTTTCCAGATTGCAAGAATTCTAACCTGATTCAGTCTATTTTACAAGAAGACTCAGACTTCTATCTGCCTCACTTATAACCCTGTCTGTACCTCTTTCACCAGTGACATCTATCAGCGTAACGACTAACCTTCTGAGAGATGAACATCCCTGAATATGTGAAAATTATATTGCATGACTCTCCTTCCAAGTCACAGACGCAAAAATGTTAAATACAACCATCCCCAGGACTAACATCTGGAAATCCCTCTTTATACCTCTGTATTCAGATTCCTGTCACGTCAATTCTTTGTTCAATTTCCCTACAAAGGCAGAGATCTCTGCTTTGTTCACTTATATTTTCCCAAACATCTTGGAACTACATCTAGTATGTGGTAGATACACTCAATATCGAATCCTTAAAAAACCATAGGAATGGAATCCAAACAAAATTTTTTTCAACTCTTTAAAAATTGGATCCACCACTTTTATCATGTTCCTATAGTTATTTACCCCTTAAAGAATTTGAGATTAGTCAAATTACAGAGAAAATGTTCAGCAGATCATTGGTAATTTGGGTCTACTGCTCTTTTTAAAATGCATACCCTCTCAGAATTAAATACATATAATCCACCCCTTTAGTGATCCTCAGGGTGCTCTGAAACTCTTCTGCATGGATGAATTTACACAGCAACATAACCACTGACACTCAGGTTTGCAGATTAGGAGTGAACATCTCAAGTGTTTACTACTCTCAACCTAACACACTTCTGAAACTATTCGCTTCAAAGACAGTTAAGCAATTAGAACCTTTTTACAGGTTCTCAGGAAAAGATCAAGACTGAAATCACTTAGTCTCCTTTTCACCATGGGGTCTCTTGCATATTAATCAGGAAGCAATAAAGTTAACACTTCAGTTTCACTTCCAACATCCTTGGATTTTTTTCTAATGTCTGGTTTGCACTGTACCTGTTACACTGTGTGTTTTCTGAGAGAAAGTGGGTGGAGTAGAGCAGAAGGCTGTCCTGCAACAACCCAGCCCTGCAGCTCTGCCTCCTGAAAGATGAAAACCCAGGAAGGGAAAGGCACACAGAGCTCAGGCACCTACTGTCAGCTGTCTCCAGGCGACCTGGCCTCTCGATCTGCTCTGGGTTTCTTTTCCTGCAGACCAGCATTCACTCTTAGACAAATACAGGGTCAAACGTGGCTGCTCTTGCTGAACTTGCAAAGAGCATCAATGAGTCTGCTACACTATTTGAATAAATGCTTTTCACCTGAAGCACAGACATGCTAACACGGCATACTAGGATTCCTATTCCCAGGCTGGATTCCTTTAGGTCTTGGTGCAAAATTAACATGTAATCCAGTAAGATCTTTTAAAACAAAGTTTCACCTTACCTGGAGCTTACCCCTTACATAAGCGATACCTAACCCCTCTGATGGAGGGAGGGGGAGGGGCTGCCAGGAAACCTAACCTTGCAGCCACAGGAGTTCTGGTCTGTGGAGAGAAACTGCCTGCTAGGGAAGGAGGGGCAACACCACCAGTTTAAAGACAGAACTTTTAAAGTGCACGCTGAGATGCAGATCCTAAAATAGTACTTAAAAGTAAAAGGAAGTGTCACAGTGTTAGTCGCTCAGTCCTGTCCAACTCTCTGCGACCCGATGGACTCCTCAGTCCATGGGACCCTCAGTGCAAGAACACTGGAGTGGGCCGCCACTCCCTTCTCCAGCGGGTCTTTAGACCAGGGAGCAGACCTGCTCCCCTGCAGTGCGGGCAGTGTCTTTACCATCCGAGCCACCAGGGGAGCCTCCCAATAAAGATGCGTTAGATGTGAGCTGAGAAGACAAAGAACCTGTGACTGAGCGGGTCCCTAAACAGTCTCTCAGCCCTCATTCACCCCACGGCTGAGAAGTTACGTGACCTGCAGAGCTGGCTCCCAAGTTCAGTACCCGAACCAGGCCTCCAGGCTCCCGGCTCCAGAACCAGCAACCTCCTCTGTCCCGCCAGAACAGCTTTCCTTCCTGGAGCACCAACCCTCACCCAGGTGCTGGCCTTACCGAGGGGCATAATGGAGAGGTATTTGCCACGAAACTTGCTGGTGATCTTGATCTCCTGCCGCAGTGTCCAGCCGTTTCTGGACTCAGCATGGTGTGCAGCCGCTGGGGGGTGGTGGCTCACCTGGAAGAGACAGGGAGCGCCAGTGAAAAGGCAGAAAGGGGAAGAGACGCTGCCGCACGCCCCAGATTCCCGCCGGACGTTGCCTGCCTGCAGCACTAGTTGAACATCAGGGCCTCCGTGGCTGACGTCCTGAAGGAAAGGAAAGCAGCCTGGGGTGGCGGCGTCTGGGATGTCTACAAATGCTATCGCCCAGGGTGGGGAGCAACCCCCGAGTCCCCTCTTCCTCAAGCAGGACGCATGCCACAGTCCTGAGGCTGCTTCACCTGCTCACAGAGGGATCGGTAGCCACTCTCCTCTAACCGGTCCAGCTCAAAGGTCTCCCCAAGGAGTGGGTTGAATGGCTTGCTGGTACGGAAGACAGTAGTGGAGTAGGAGGACACGGTGAAAGCTGCAACATAACAGAGCTGTTCTAGAGAGTTCTCACACTTGGCAGCCCGGTCTAACAGCTCATGGTACTCCAGGTCTTCAGTGAGGCGCTGAAGCATGGATAAGGGCTCGTTAAAGTTCACCTGTCAGGAAAAGAGCAGATGTAAACGCCTTGCCCACACAGCCACACCAGACCATTTCTTCTTTTTTTCCCCACAAGTGGAGACACACACTGAGATGTCAAGACATCTCAGATAGAGCGGATCCTTGGGAAAAGAAGCCTGTGCTCAGTGGAGACGCTCTAAGCTCTGACCCGAACAACAGCCCGTTCTCCGCGGTGAGCTGCTTGCGTCTGGGACTGCGGAAATCTCCACCTGCACTGATTTGCTAACTGAAAGCTGAGATGGGAACCATGCCTCTTCTGCTCAGCACTGCATATCCACGACGCCTGTCACCAAACAGGCATCGAATGAGTGAATGAAAGGGGGACGGACGTGGCACCAGGACACCCAGAGAGGAGGCTGGGCGTGGAACCCTTCTGAGGAGGAGAGGAAGGCTAGCAGAGCCCAGGAGGGGGCGGTCCTGACGGGAGCAGGCTGCAGGGGCCAGCTTCCCTCCACATTGGGCCACCACTGGTCTCAGTCGAGGGCCCCATCCGGCCAGGGTGCTGCCTCCTCTCTGAGGCTGCACCGCTGTGTTTCTGGCCCGGGAGTGTGCGCTCTGCGGGCAGAGACAGGGCTCCTGTCTTCAAGTTTAGAGCCAACCTGAAGGCACGCGACTACAGGATGAAGCGAGCATGTGTCTGTGTGTGCCTCTCTTGGGGAGAAGGTGCCTACTCAGGCCACAAATTCACGGGTGCCAGGCCCTGTACAACCCATCGGGGGCAGACAAGTCAAAAGAGGAGACTGTTCTCCCTCACCCCCAAAGAGTCAGCTTCTAAGTTGACTATTTGGAACGTATGATGACTTTACTATTTTATTATCAAAAGAGGTTAGGTTCCCAGGTTGTTCCGAGGTTGGCTGCTGTTTAATCAGCAGCCCAGCTAAACAAGCCTGAACATCAGCAGCTCGAGTTCTGAGTCCAAAGAAGAGAAGGAAGAAAAAAACCACCCTTTGTACTGAATGAAGCTGACCGAAAGCAACATTTTGGTTACTGAAACAAGCAAAAACAACACTTTTCTTTCCTAGAGTCCTATCTCTTTTCCTGTATTTTTCTGCATTTTTATCCAACCTCCTGCCCGTCAATCTCTATGAGTCACATATTACCCTAATACTTACTGTCTTCCCAATTATGAAATATCTTGTAATTTCCGCTTTAACACTTTGAAGAAACAAAGTTAAAAGGAAAAAAAAATCTACTTGAAATACCATCACCCAAAGATAACCATCCTTAGTAGTTTCCATATTTTTTCTATGCATTTATATATTTTTTAAAAGGGCCTATTTTTTCTGAGAAATAAGCCAAGCATTTCCCTGTGAAAACTTCCCAATGGGGAAGGATGATCTACCACGCCTCAACTAGAACAGTCTTCAAGTAGAGGACTCCACCACCACCTGTCCATGGAGAGAAGAGCTATATGATGAGGAAAATGCACATGGAGGGGAAATGGATGGACAGAACCAAATCCTCCAGGTCTTTCACAAGCGGGCACTTATCAACCATGCGGACAACACCTCTCAGGCGCTGAGCTGCAGCCACCAGGCAGTAACAGTTCCATACGTTTCGGGGAAAGTGGGGCGTGGATACGCTCCGCTGGCGGCCACGTACAGATCAGCCTGCCGGCGGGTCATCACTACTCTTCACACCACGTGGCCCTGCCCCCAAGAGCTGTGCCAGGACCCACAGCGTCTCCGAGAGTGGGCAGCCTTTTCCTACTGGTCTTTTTTACCACTCAGAGGGCTCACCGGGGACAGAGAAATCTGAGACTTCAAAGTGGAAGGGAGCGGGCATTAGTGGCATGGCTGACAGAGCGCGGGGCAGCGTGAGAGACAGCCTGGAGATGAGCAGCAGCAGGAAGCCGCTGGCGCTGGCAGGCTGCAGGGACCGAGGGCCACATGGGGTCACTGCACACAGAGGCCACAGGCCCGGGCAGGAGCTGAGGCCTCTGGGCCCATCCGGCAGGAGTGCGGCCCATGATGCAGCTGCAGGGAGCACCCCAGGGCGGCTCCCTCCTCCCGCCCACTCCAGATGCCTTCTGGGGCCTCGCCCGGGGCCCCAGCACAGCCCGCAGACAGACAGAGAAGCCGCCCGGGGGCTCAGCCTCCTGTGAGCCAGCACAGGCGGGCGAGGGGCGAGGGGCGAGGGGCGAGCGCCGGGCAGCGTCAGCAGGAACCGACAGGGACAGGGGTCACGGGGACACAGACGCTCCTCTGAGCAGGAACTGAATTTCCACGGCGATGACTGGCCTTTCCAGCCCCCTTTCCTACCACTTTCTTAGGGCGCTGGGCCAAAACAGTGAGGCTTCTTTTTCAGACCCCCTGCCCCACCCCACGAACCAATCATTTTACGTTTCTCTCCTATGCCTACTCACAGCCCCTCCGGTCTGGAGAGGAGTCTTTTTCTACCAAAATCCTACATGCTCATATACAAACCTATTTATTTTCCAAGACTCACATTTGCTGCACGATATGTATCTACCAGGCCCTGGCTACACACCAAAGGTATGAAGACTAGTAAAATGGTCTGCGCAGAATGCCATCCACGGGAGGCAGAACCGCTCACTCTCCATACGCCCCGAGCGGCCGTGAGCCTCTCTCTCCTGACAGCACAAGGGCAGAACCTGCTGCCCCCCCACTCCACTCTCCCTTTCATCCACAGGCAGCAGAATCCCCAGGTATCATACTGGCCATGGCACCAAAAACAGAAGTCGTGATCCCTAGTGAGCTGAGGATCTGAGTAAAGAGACTGAAGGGGATGGTTCATGCGCTTTTCAGGAAGCACCCAGAAAGGGCCGGTGTGCGCTCTGCTCGCCCCGAGGGCCTGGGCTGCAGCGCTCCCCCAGCACCCAGGAGCCGCGGCCACGGGGCAGGACCACAGGCCGGGGGAGCCTGGCCACGGCAGCGAGGGCGCCGGCCGGAACCCGGCCGCCTGCCGCTGGACTCCGGCGTGACGGCGTGACGGCGTGACGGCGACGGAGGCTGTGTTTGTGCGCCAGCTTCTCTGTGAGAGGCCAGGCTGCGAGTATTTGGGCTTTGAGGGCCAGATGGCCTCTGTCACACCCACTCAGCACTGCTCTCCTAGGGGGAGGGCAGCCATGGACAAGCGGTACGTGAAGGGGCGTTTACTGCATCCCAGTAAGACCTCAAGGACACTGACATCTAAACTTCATACAGCTTTCACATCACAAAATATTAGCCTCTTTTTGATATTTTCCAACCATTTAAAAATATGAAAACGGTGCTTGGCTCATGAGCTGTACAGAGGGTAGTCAGATGTGGCCCCAAGGCCACAGTCTGCTGACCCCCGGTCTAAACCAACATATTTTGAACTCTTTAAATTGAACCTATACCTAACTGATACACCCCCGGCAGCTGGGCTGCCAGCAAACGCTCACAGGATGAAAGAGAAAGTGAAACCCACCGCCCAGAAATAAATAGGGGCACTTGCTGGGACACAGGGATGAGACGGCTCGCCCTGACGGGACGCCTGGGTGAAGGGGGCTGAAAGACGGCTCTGCAGTCGGCTCCTGAAGAAAAGGTACCAGCCAGGGTAAGAGCGGAGTGGCAAGGGCGGGTGGGAGCTGAGGGAAGTGCGGGCAGAGAGAGCAGTGTGTGCAGACGCCAAGGAGCCGGGGCGGGCCTGAGGTGGCTCCCGGGGGCACGCTGCCTGTGCAACGGGCGTGCTTCCTGGGGGGAGGGCAAGCCCCGGGGAGCTGGACTCCGCTCAGAGCAGGGAGCAGTGAGCAAAGGATTCCCAGCGAAGCGGTGACGGGACCACATTTACAATCCTAAACCAACCCCTTCTAAAGCAGTCTGGACAGACGGGAGGTGTGCCTGATGGGAGGCAGGGAAACGCCACCATCCCCAGGACATGGGCCCCGGCTTCCCGCCTGGAATGAGCTGCTCTGCTCTGCGCTCCCCAAGCCTCTGTGAGAGCGGCATTTCCCACCAGATGATCACTGAAAGCAAGGTCCGCTACCCATCTTCGTGCCTGTCTCTTGAACTACATGGTTCATGAGAACAGAAACGATACTGAATTTATCTCTGCACAGCCCCAGTACATCTGGCCTAAGAAACTGCTCATAAATCACTGCTTTTGAACAACACATCTGATTCTCACTGATCTGGAAGCATACCAGAAACCTAGCCCAAATGAAAGCCCCTGGTTCTAGATGATGGATTCTAGTCTGTGATTGCACGGATAACACCGGTCACGCCGCAGGTGGCCATGGCAGGGGGGGGGTGCCAGGGGGGGCGGCGTGGCTGTCCCAGCAGCCCTCCCGGGCCTGAGGGGCCCCTGGGCAGCAGCCCCAGTGGGCCAGACCCTCACCGGCATGGGGATCTTGGAGAGCTCTTTGCCGATGCAGTTCTTCATGATGCTCCACAGGTTCAGGCTGTAGTTCGGCTTGTATGGTATCCGCGTCCGCTTCTCCTTTTTGGTCTCCTCCAGCTGGTGCTTGTACTGAGCACAAACACAAAGCCATTCAGGGACCCGCAAAGAACAGACAATTCAGTATTCCTAAGCCTCCCTTCCCCCATGCTAAAAAAAAAAAAAAAAAGAATCAGAATCTCCTATTCCGCTTTAGTACTTTACAAGCACATCCCTGGAACACACTCGGTCCACCCCTGCTGATCACCCCAGGTGAGTGTTACCTGCTCATCAAGGCTGATGTCGCTGCTGGCTCCACTGATGTTGCTGCCGGTGCGTCTACACAGGTGGGAAACGGATGAGGATGAGACTAACGAGCAGAACTAGACAGCGGTCCTTGCCACGTCTTTACAAAGCAGAACGCTAAGGACACTGCACCAACTTATTCACGAGTGACCAAGAGACGCCACTGAGAAGAGCGCGTAGGAATAAACGTCTCTGGAGAAGCTGTTCATGTAAAGACAGACACTCTCCCAGGCACTTAGGGCAAAGAGTCCAGGCCTTGGGAACAACTAGGATGTTCCCATGGAAACATTTCCAGCCTTTTGATGGCTGGGCAGGGGGGGAGGGCAGTCAAGCCTAACTCACTTGTGGCCCAAGTTCTCGGGCACGGTGATGATCTCAGGGGCGTCAAAAAACTCGTTCTCGTCATCCTCATCACTCAGGTCGCCTTTGCCAGAGCAGCACTGATCTGCCAGGAGGGGACAAGCCGCGTTTGTTCACTTTGCTACATTTATCAAACCCGGCAAGGCAGGCCTTCCAAACACAAACCACACACAGGAACAGGTAGAAAGCAGCAGGAGAGGCAGGAGACACGGAGGGCTGAATTCCATCTTGGGTGAGGCACTGACTGCAGAGACCCGGGGCTCCGCCAGCCGCCGCGCAAGCCCCCCCACCGGGCCCCCAAGCCCCCCACCTTTGCTGGAGCCGGCGCCAGGCGCGCCTGCAGGCAGCACAGTGGCCCCCCGGAAGGCCCTCTCCAGGTGGTTGTGCTGCTTCGCCAGCTGCTCCAGGGTCTCTTCCAGGCGGATGCGCTGGTCCCTCTCGTACTGCAGGGACTTCTGCCACTTCTTACTGTGGGTTTGGGCCAGCACGAGGAAATCTCTGCAGGCCTGTATGGAGACAGAGTGGACATGGGTCCCCTCACCTTGACCACTCAGAGTCCCCCCAGGCCTCTGAAAGCCCACCGAGTAATCTCACTCCGGGGACCCGAGCCAGCGAAGTACAGTGAAAGGCCTTCGCTGTCACGGCACAGTGTCAGGGACAGCCAGCTCCGTGACACAACCAAGGTCAACCCCAGAAAAACAGACAGAGAACCCCGAGTGTGGTTGTCACGGTTAGTATTTTCCTGGTCATGAGGACCACGCGGACGCCAGCTAAGCAGCAAACCTAGACCAAGGTTTGTGGCAGCCACGGGGGCTGCTGACCGGGAGGGGAGAGAAAGCCTGGGGCGCCGTGTGTGGCTTCTGACCCATTCCCGACCACACTCAAGCTGCCAACAGCGGAGGAACGCAACGCTGATGGCGGCCGAGTTTGCACCGCATCAGACCAGACACCGGAAACATCCTTGGCTTCTATCTCGGTCACTAAGAGAACGACCGACCTCAAAAGCCAACGCCTATCTGAGGGGTCAGAGAAGAGACAGAACACAAACCTGACCTGCTCAGTCCCGCCCCAGGCTCCACGTGGGTCAGACCCAGGCCTGACCGCTGGCTGTGGACACACAGGGCCCCGCCCCCGCCACGGAGCCCCCCAGAGCGGCGCGCCCTTCTCAGACACGCAGATTTCCGCCGGTGCTGTTCCCTTGGCCCAGAATGCCCTCCACCCGCTTCCTCTACTTGGCCAAGTGCTCCTCATTCTTTGAGATCTGTGGCAAATGTTACTTCTCTGGGACACCCCCCACCCCCACCCCCAAAGGAGCCAGGCTCTCCTCTGCACATATTTCTCTTTCTCAGCATCCACAGCAGGATCGTGACTTTCTCTCCAGATGGATCATGAGTGACTTGAAGATGCCATTTACAGCTTGTTCACATACTTATCTACAGCTCCTAACTTGGCTGCTTTGTACACAGTGGGAGTCCATAAAGTTTACTTAATAAATAAATGGAGGAAGAAAACAATGGAAGCTTAAAAGTCCAGACAATGTTAAAGAGAAACTAAAGGGTAAATAGAGTATCTGCTCCCATGGTTTCAACCCTGACCTATGGACGACAGCCTGTGGAGTCAGGAATTCCAGCTCTGTGCTCGGGGAGCCGCAGATCAGACTACCCAACAGCTCAAAGTACCCTCAAACTCAGCGTGCCCTGCCCAACTCGCCACGCTCCCTCTCCACTCACATCTCCACGCAAGGACACTGGCAGGCCCCCCACCTGCCTGAGCGGAGAAGGGAGGCGCTTCCTGGATTCTGAGCCTTGCTCCCTTCCCACATCCAACACTCAGGACCTACGGACTGTTCTTTGACATTGTTGCCATCTTTACACTTCTTTCCAAACTCTGTACTCCAGGCGGCACAGAGAGCATACCCTGGGTCATCACAGCTCCATCCCACTGTCTAGCTGGACTTTTAGCAAGTTATTGAACCGAGAGGCGCCTCACCGTCCTCATCTGTGAAACAAGCATGACAACCGCAGCCCTCTCACAGCATTGCTAACGGGAACAGGCAAAGCTCTCAGAAAGACCCGGCTCCGAGTCATCACTCAACAACGCGTTTGCAACTACAGTTACGCCTGCACCAAAGTCAGTCTTGTCCCCTCCTAACTGACTCCCCCCAAGCCCAAGTAGGATCTGCATGCACAGCATGCCTGGCACCTGAGCGCCTCTCCAGCCTTCTCTCAGCTCCTTCCTTCACCAGAGCGGCTCCCAGATAGCAGAGATGCGCACCCCCCCCCCCACCACACCTGGACAGGCTCCTGCCCCACATCCCCTGAGACCAGCAAGAGGCGACGACATGCCAGGCACTGTGCCCATCTCTCCACACCCATGAGCTCATGAAAGCCTTTCCGCACCCCAAGAGCAGGACCATCGCCACTTACAGAAAGGGAACTGGGGTCACAGAGGAAGGAGCCCCCCCGGCTACAGAGACGGTTAACTGGGGCCACTGGATTCCACGGCCCCGAACCAGGGGCGCCTTTGTTTTCACAGGAAGACCCTCTCAGGTCTTCCAGAGTTTAGTTGAGGTGTTACCTTCTGAAATCCTCCCAGTCTGAGCTGGACCCCGAAGGGTTACAGCACGGCAGCCTGTGCCCATGTCTCTCGGGGCACTGAGCACGCTCCATAATCGTCTGTTCACCTCTCGGCCCCTAAACGGAGGGAAATCTCCCCGAGGGCAGGCACCACGGCCATATCCCCTAGCGCTGTGCCCAGAGCACAGAAGGCGCTCAGTATGTGTTCGCTGAATTAGTGAATGGATACACTAACACAGTCTCCAATTCACTCCCTGCTTAGCGACTCGCTCTGGCAGCAAGAAAAGCTGTGTCCTAAGCGAGCAGGCAGCTGAGGGAAACTCACGCACTCTTCCTCTGCGTTGACACTGACTGTTTTGAGATGTGATGTGCTACCCAGCACTTTTCAGGCCTTGCCATTATCCCCGAGGAAACCACACATGGGTAAAAAAAATGCCTTTCCAGCAATAACTGGCTACAAAAGGGGCAGAGGCCGTGCACGCTGGAGAAGAGCGTGAGAGCGGACACAAGCTCCTGACGCCGAGAGCTCGGGAACAAAGACAAGCATGTCTTCAAGGGAAAGGTCCAAAATAAAGTTTCAGTTTTGTGAGACGTTTTTAAAGAAGAGGTGTTTTATGTAGCAAATATCTATCATAGTAGGAAAAAAAACTGTCATGGGAGCAGACTTGGATGAAAGGTAACAGACGACTGTTTCCCGAGCTGTTCTATTTCACGCGTGTATTTATGTACTATTGATTAAAGGACCTGTATGAGTTTTCCTGATCAGAGGAGCACGAGAACAACAGGCACCAAGCAGTGGAAGAGTCTGGAAAGAGCGCAGGACCAGGCGTCAGAGACACAGGCGCCCGTGCTGGGGCACAGAAGGCGGGCTGACGCTGCTGAGACGGATCTGCCCCCAACCCTGCAGTGCACAGAGTAACTCCTCTCCCCGCCTCTGTGTGAGTCGGAGCACGGAAGAGTGCTCGGTGCCTCAGAACAGGGCACAAAAATAAAGTCACCACAACTTTCTATTCAGGGGTTTTAAATGCAGGAAAGTAAAGTTTCGCTTGGTCAAAGGAAAAGACTTTTGATCTCTGAGAGCTGCACGAACTAAACCAGTTCTAAACAGGAGCCTCGTTACCACTTCTTCAATAAGGGGAAAAATCTGACCCTACTGAAGGTAGTGTGAAAGTTGCTTAATTGTGTCCAGGTCTTTCTGACCGCATGGACTGAGTCCATGGAGTTCCCCAGGCCGGAACACTGGAGTGGGTTGCCATGCCCTCCTCCAGGAGATCTTCCAAACCCAGGGATCGAACCCAGGTCTCCCGCACTGCAGGCAGATTCTTTACCAGCTGAACCACAAGGGAAGCCCAAGCATACTGGAGTGGGAAGCCTTGCCCTTCTCCAGGGGATCTTCCCCAGCCAGGAACCAACCCGGGGTCTCCCACAGCTGCAGGCGGGTCCTTCACCAACCGAGCTATCGGGAAGCGTTGCGCTCCTGCATTTGATTAGACAGGAAAACAAAGCGCCACCTGTGTGAGCCCTTTCTCACAGAGCTGACTTCTCACGGGCCTTGAGAACATGCTTCTTGTGCTCCTACCTGGGAGGTGGCTGAAATCACCGGCCGGGTGCGGACAGGTCTCCAGCAGGGAAACGCAGCAGTTTATAAACCGCACTCACTCTGCACCCGGCCCACATCGCCAGTGCCAGTGCACTTTGGGCTTACTGGGAGCCCTGCCCTCCAGGCAGCTGACGGGCCCCACAGACCCACGAGTCACCCGAGCCACGAGCTGCAGGGGGCAGAAGCACTGGCCCCTTCTTTTGAAAAGCAAAGTGCTCAAGGTTGAGTGTGTCGTCTTATCACCCAGAAGTGTGTTGAAGTGTTAGCCGCTCAGTCGTGTCTGACAATTTGCAATCCCATGGGCTGTAGCCTGCCAGGCTCCTCTGTCCATGGGATTCTCCAGGCAAGAATACTGGAGTGGGTTGCTATTTCCTTCTCCAGGGATCTTCCCAACCCAGGGATCAAACCCACGTCTCCTGCACTGCAGGCGTTCTTTACCGTCTGAGCACCAGGGAAGCTCCATCACCCAGAGCTCTCTCATAAACCAAAGGAGAGACTCACCCAACTCCAAGGCTTTCAGTACTACTTGACCCGGCCCCCATTTACCACTGCAGGCCAGCACGCACTAGCAAAGCAGGGGTCAGACTCCAACGGAAATCTCAAAGAACTAAAAGGTAGAAAGGACCCATGAAGATCTTTCAGTCCCAACAGACAGAGTTAAGAAAAATAGATAAGGAGGGAGGGAGGGAGGCAGGAAGAGACAGAAAGAATGAAAGAAAAAGAGAGAGAAAAAAAGAGTTGCAACCCCGAAGGTGAAGGACTCAGCGTCGCCATCAGAGGCCCTGCTGGGGCAGAAGCCAGGCTGGGCAGCGCCCTCCTGATCACTCGAGCAGGGCGTGGAGGGTCATTCTATTCCTGCACCCTATTCAGTTTCACGCAACAGACACTGCAACTCAAAGCCCTTGAACAGGGAGGCAGGACCTATGGTTTACGCTTTGCCAATCACAGCCTTTCCCATCCCGCGGGAGGGGCGTGGCCCTTTTCCAGCACGTGGGGGGAGCGGCCTTTCCCGAGGGAGCTCACATTGATCATGGCGTTGGACGTGATCCTGAAGAGCGTGGCGCGCTCGTTGACCTGCTTGATCTTTTCGCTGCTCTCGGCCGGCAGCCGCAGGGCCTCCAGTTCGCTGAGCGAGCGCTGCAGCGCTGTGCCGTGCTTGGCAATCAGGTCGTTGCAGGTGCTCAGGTCCTCCACCTTGCTGGACAGGGTCCGCAGGGTGTTCTGCAGCTCCGTCTTGTCGGTCTGGGAGACGGACTCTTCGTCTCCTGACTCATCTGTGGGGCGAGAAGGGGAGCGGTAGAACTCCGGACCCAGGGCCGAGAGCCGGAACCCTCCCGCTACGCTGCGAGCGGACCCGCGCCCTCAGCCTGCGCAGTGACTGGCCGGGTTCACCGCTGCCAGGCGATCCCCCCACACCGGTCCTCGGCCCGCGGCGGTAGATGCCTGGGGCAGACCACAATGGGCGCTTCTCCTGCTACTGCTTTTCTAATTTTATTGAGATGTAATTGGCGTGTGATGCTGTTGTAAGTTTCAGGTGTACACCACCTACGTCTTGCATCTATCGGGAAATGATTAAAGTAACTAACTTCCATCACCTCACACAGACACAAAAGGAAGGCTTTTCCCTGTGATGAGACTTTCAGGATTTGCTCTCTTGGCAACTTTCAAACACACCACACAGCAGAGTTCACCACAGCCACGTGCTGTCCACGACATCCCTAGTACTTACTTGCCTTCTAACTGGAGGCCGGCATCTTTGGGCCACCCTCATCCAATCCCCTCACAGCCCACTCAGGGTTCTTCCTAAAGGTGCAGAGTCTCTGGTCCCACCCCTAGAAAAGCTTTGATCTCGCTGGTGTGAGCCAAGGTCCAGGAACCTGCATTTCGAATAAGCTGTCTGGGTAAGTCTGATGCACACTAAAGTCTGTGAACAGGTGACCGAGAGGTTAAGGTGGAGAAACTAAATGGCTCTTACGGTTGGGAATGAATTTTTGAGCCTTTAACCCTAGCGTGAGGGTCCCAAAACAGTCAATCTGACTATGAGTGCCAATCCACAATCATCTGTTGGGTGGTCAGCAGGCCCCTGTATGTCCTGCAGCCCAGCCCTCTGTAAACCACTCTCACATCATCAAAACACACATAATTCCTCTTTCCTATGGGAGAACTCAGGAACTTCACAATGAATTCATCTGACACTGAAGTCACCGCTGCACTGGAAGCCACGCAAGGCCTTCTGTTAAACGCCTCCTGAATAACAAGGCACGGAGGGGCTGTGCCTGCCTCTCGCTGGCAGTTTTGTCCTTAACGATGTGTAACTGCAGAGTTCTTTTCTAGCCATGTCACTTCCTTTGGGGGAGCTAAAATCAGCACTAAAATCGAAACAAAAGAAACAAGGGAAGACATGCCCCATCTGTATCTGCCAGACAAAGGGGCAGGGCTGGAGTCAGAATGCAACCTGTGACCCGGAGATTTACAAAGCAGGAAACTCTCCTCTCATTGCTTCAGAGACATTAAACACAGCATGGGGAACCACAAGAGATAAGAGCAAGAGATAAACAGAAGTCAGCAGGTGCGCACCGCGGGCAGCTCTAAGCAAACAAGCTCAGTATGATTAAACCACCATTTTCCTTTAAGAAAAATCAAAACATAAGCAGGCTATGCTTTTTAGTGAGACTATGGTAGCAAAATTAAGATTTTTCACAGAAAATATCACAAGTAATTTTTTCCCATGTATCTCAGGCATGAAACAGCTCTGGTCGCCAACCCAGGTGTCAGGCAGAGATGAGGGATGGCTGGAGCCCTCCTGCCCCTACCGCCATGAGAGCAACCCCTCCATCAGGGGTCTCTGCCCACTGCCAGGGGGTTCACACATCTTGCTTTTGGCAGTCTATGGAGATTGCTGGTTTCAATTCAACTAAACAAACAGTTAAGTAAGAAGATGTCAGGAGAAAAGGAAACGGTAAGGACAGATCCAAAATGTGAGCTTATCAGTTTGGATCTTATTTATCAATAAAATCAATAAAACTGATTTATCAAATCATCCTTTCTCAAGATTTTAAGGCAGTCGGTGGGCATTAGAAGCCAAGAGGTAACTGCCATGCTTCTAAGACAAGAGTTTCCCAATCTCAACCGTTCTGACATTTGGAGCCAGCTGCCTCTGGCGGGGGCAGGCGGGGGGCTGTCCTGAACGCTGCTGGGAGCTCCAGCCCTGGCCTCTGCTCCCGCGTATCAGGAGCACCACCCCCCTCAGTAGCAACAAGACGTCTCCAGACATCACCAGACGTCCCCTGAGGAGCTGAACTGCCTAGCTGAAAGCCGGCCCTCCAGGAGAGATTCTGCCCGCCGGGCAGCCAGCAGACAGCTGGTAATTAGATGACAGTGGGGGCAAAGGAGGTCTGCGCGGCAGGGGCTCGCCCCACCTGACTCGGCCAGCATCTTCACCGCCTTGGCCTTGGCCAGCTCCAGGGCCGTGACCCAGCGCTGCCGCTCCACCTCCGAGCTCGCCTTCAGGTGGTAGGTCTGCGCGCCCCCATTGGAGATGATGAAATTGCAGGAGTCCTCCACCGTGATGTTGGCCGTGGCGAGGTTGATGGTGCCGCGGCACGTGTGCCTCATCTCTGCCTTCGACCTGCAAGAGCGCAGACAGCTGAGCGGGCGCGCGCGCCTTCCCTCAGCACATCCTACTTCACAGACGCAGACGCATGCGCGCCTTCCCTCGGCACACCCTACATCACATCTCCCAGTCTTCCAAAAGTACCGCAGTCTTAGGAATCAGCAGGTTCCAATATTCTCCTCGCATGGCTCCCTCCAATTAAGCCAATCAGCAGGGACTTCCCTTCTGAGCCTGTAAGTGTTCTGGGTCGGAGTTTACTGCTCCGCTCCTCCCCTCACCCTGAGCTTTGGAAAAACAGGCTTCACTGAAGGCGAACTACAGAGAGCATTAGCCTAGCAATTTTAAGTGTACAATTTAGTGAGTTTGGACAAATGTAAACAACTGTGCAACCACCTTCACAGTCAAGATGGAGAGCACTTCCATCCCCCCAAGAGTCGACTCCCTCAGGCCCCTTTACAGTCAGGACTTACCTTTCATTCAGCAAGATACAATTATCAAAGGGTGCTTCATAAACTCATGCAACCAAATTCTGCATAACAATCTTATTCTCTAAGAGAAAGAGGGAGTTCTCTGGCAGGCCAACGGTTAAGACACTGTTCCCAGGGCAGGGGGCACGGGTTACCTCCCACATGCCATGTGGTGTGGCAAAAAAAAAAAAAGAAGCTAAAAGAACAGCTCCATTTTATAAATATTGAACAATCCACTGCCCCAATCCACTCTAACTCATCCGCAGTGAGAACTGCCATACCACTCTTAAAACCATCTTGCAGACGTGTAAGGCACACTTAGATGTTTAGAGTATCAAATATTGTGTGTGTGTGCTCAGCCTCTAAGTGGTGTCTGACTCTCTGCGACCACATGGGCTGTAGCCCACCAGGCTCCTCTGTTCACGGGACGATCCCCCAGGTAAGAGTACGGGAGTGGGTTGCCATTCCCTTCTTCAGAGGATCAAACCCAACCCAGGGATGGAACCGTGTCTCCCACACTGGCAGGCAGACTCTTTACCCCTGAGCCACCAGGGAAGCCATAAAATACAGCTTAAATGATATGAAAGAGGAGTCACTAGCTCTCTGTGGGAGTGAAGAAGGAATATTCATTAAAGGAGCACGGGGTGGTATCATCTTTCATGCATATATTCTTTCCTAAGGTCCACTGACCTCTATTGGTGGGAACTCCTAAGCCACCCTATTAATAGCTAGGAGAAATTCAGCAAATCTCTTCTCAGAGGACCGGGTGTAAAAATTTTCTCCATTGCTACTGACTGACAGTTCTATTAATAGGCTAACTTTTGAACCTTACAGCCCTGCTTGGTGATAACAAGCTACAAGAGACTTGGCATAGAACAGAGCCGCCAGCGCAGCCGAGTGTACAGGGCGACCTGCGCTCATTTCCCCGCCACCGGTGGACCTGCCCAGAGGACCTGCATGTTGAGACTGCAGTTTTCCCTGACCAACTTGGAACAGAAAGAGGTCAAAGTCCTTTGCCAACTGCCAGCGTGCAAAGCAGGGCCGTCTCTTTCACGAGTGCCAAGTGGCCAAACACACCTGGCACACCCCAAATTCCTGCATGCCGGAAATGACGACATTCTCTCCATCTCTAGAAACCAAGACTGGGGTAGGTTTGAGAAAGCCTGTTTACTGTGCTTAGGAAGACAGCTTGGCTATTGTTCGGTTTGTCACATGAAACTGGTTTTTCTTCCTCAGATGCACAGCCCAGAAGCATGGGATGGCCAGTGGGGAGGGTGGGGGTCTCAATAAACCAGGCCGTTTTCCACCTCCCGCACCTGCCAGGCTGTAATTCGACTCCTGCTTTCTACTCCTCCTCCCCTCCCCCGCCCCACGCTTCAGTTACATTATGAATAATGCAGGCTGAATTCCCGGCTCACCCTCACTTTCTACTCCAAAGGTGCGACTCGGACCTTCTGCCACATTCCTCACAACGCGCTGATCTTTTCCACAGGCTGCTTCCTAGGAATCTCCTCTGCTCAGGTCATGTCCATGAACTAAAAAAGTTTCCCGAATCATACAGTCTATAGTGCTTTTAAAAATACCAGAGGACTCTGGAAGTTTGGGCAGGCTTGACTCTGGAGCTCTTGGCTCAAGCAGATACACCTCTGCTTACAAATGATTAGTGCAGAAGTATTTCAAAAGAACTGCTTTTCAGGGTGCAAGAGAAGTTCTTCAGGCACCACAGTATTAGGTGGTGTTTTCTGATTAGTAAGTTCTTCCTGGAAAAGGCCAGCCAAAATAGTAGCTCCATCTCTAGAAGCTAGCCAAGAAAACTAATACTATGGGCTTGTCATGACGTGTCTGGGAGAGCTGGGATTCTACATACGGTTTTAAGTAACAGGACAGCTGTGTAACTTTGTATATCATGAAGAACAGGATAGGTAAAAAGGCGGCCTGCCAAAGCCTATTAGAACAGTTCATCAGAGGATGGGTTTAGGAAGCACTTGGTTAAAAAAAAACCGTATTTTGTCAAAGGCATATACAGGAGATGGTTTTGGAGGCGTGAAAAGCAGAAGGCAAAACGACTTGGCTAAATGAACCCTAAGAACATGGGGATCCAAAGAACCAGTTTGGAAGAATACCAACTGGTTGATAGAAAGTAGTTAAATGTGATTTTGAGGGTAGCGTGTAGACTTGATAATTCTGACGCTGTTCCTTGGTTGGTTTGTGGGTGGAACTGTCTTGGCTGGCAAGGACAGGCCCGGGGGCATATTTCCCAATACACAGTTTGCTATGTTTGGGAAGGCGTTCTAGCTGTGGTCAGACAGGTACCACTAGCTCTTGTAGGAGAGAAATTAAAAGTGGTTACAAGTACTTAAGAGATAACAACATACACGTTATTACTGTCCAACCAAGATCAATATTGACCAAGACAGGTACTGATTAAAGACTAAACTGGGCTGGAAAGTAGATCTTATTAAAAACTTCAATGAGTCGGAGAAGGCGAGGGTGGGATGTTTCGAGAGAACAGCATTGAAACATGTATATTATCTATGGTGAAACAGATCACCAGCCCAGGTTGGATGCATGAGACAAGTGCTCGGGCCTGGTGCACTGGGAAGACCCAGGGGGATCGGGTAGAGAGGGAGGTGGGAGGGGGGATCGGGATGGGGAATACATGTAAATCCATGGCTGATTCATGTCAATGTATGACAAAAACCACTACAATATTGTAAAGTAATTAGCCTCCAACTAATAAAAATAAATGAAAAAAAAAAACTTGAATGAGGAAAAATGACCACACACTAAGGCTTTCAGCTGATACACAACTATTAAAAAATGGGAAATCAGTGTTAATACTGACTTATAAGCCAAGCTAGGATATGAATTAGTTAACATTAGAATGATGGTCAGTGTAACAGGAAAACATGAACTTGAGCAGGGGAAAAACTTTGGAACAAACAAAAACTTTAGATTTGTGATTTAACCTTAAACTGATAGTCCCGGACAAATAATTAAAAACGATTAAAACGAAAATTAATTCTGAATAATTCAAATGATACACATAAACGTTCACAATTAATGTCACTTAAGCAGTGAGGATGCACTAAGGCATTTTCTACCATGTTAGAGATCAGGTAAAAATGTGCTCCTACTTCAACAACCTCCAACTCCCATCTTCAGTTCTCCTTCAAAATTCTTTAAGAGTCAAGACAATGAAATTGAGGGAAAAGAGATTCCTTCACCCAAACTGTCCCAGTGGCAAAGCGACTCCTGGCAGAAGGCAAGAAATATAGTCTTAACACTACTCTTTCGGGTCTCAAATAGAATGGTCTTGCCAAAAGCATGTTATGTTATGGCAAGACTGTGAGTCACCACAAACGTGTACTATACGTCCCAACACAAGCGCTGCTAAACAGGAGTCAAACAAAAGACATGGACTCTACTTTTGAGGAAACTTGAACCGAACTAACCGGCTGGCCCCCAGCAATCCTGGCTGGAACACTTAAGGATCTTCCTTGGGAGGGCGCGGGAGCTGACAAAACTACCAGAAACCTTGGAGGGCGCGTCTCCGTTGTGTGCTGTGCAAAGGCGAGAGCTGAGGCCAATCTTGAGGAGATAAGGACTGGGGACAGACCCCGAGGCCACCCTATGCGTGGCGTCCTTGTGCCTGGACGTGGAGGGAGCAACGGCGGGAACATCAAGGGCCGCTGATAACCCTGAATTCTGGAGCCGGGGCAGACAACCAAGCCTCGGGACTCTTGACAGCAAGTTCCCGGGGAGAGGTGCCCGGGTTCTGCCCCCCTAAGCACCGACACCGGCGCCCTCCCTGCGGACTCCTCACTGCACCGAGGCGCTGCTAGGGTCACAACACAAGAGGAGACGCGATGCTCCCGGAGCAACTGGCGGGGCCGGGGGCCGCCGAGGGCGGGGCACGCGGGCGGCGCCGTACGTCCCGGCGCGCCCACTCTCGCGAGGGTGGGCTTGTGTCGCGGGCGGCGGGGGGGACGCGCCCCGGAAGCAGTTACCTGTAGTAGCTGAGGAGCCCGTTGCTCAGCACGAACCACCGCCGCTGGTAGCCTTTGATGTAATTGGTCCATTTGAAGAGCCAGCCCTCGCGAGCCGAGCCCGAGCCCGAGCCCCCGGCGCCCGAGCCCCCCGCCGGCGGCGCGGGAGCCGGGCCCGCCGCCGCCACTGCCCCGGCCCCAGGGCTCGGGCCGCCCGCCGCCACCGTGGCCGCCGCGCCCGGTACAAGCCCGGGGCCCGGCCCGGAGTCTCCGCGGCCGCCGGCGCCTCCACCTCCCACCCCGGGGGGACCGGCGCCGCCGCCGCCCGGGGCCGCCATGGTGGCCGGGCCCGGGCCCAGCGCTCCTCTGAGCTCCGTCGCCGCCATGAGCCGCCGCCGCCCGCTGATACACGACCGGAACCGCCTACGAGAGCCGCCGTCGCCGCCTGGAGGGCCCCACTCGGCGAGCGCCTCAGCCGCCGCCGCGCAGCGTCCCCGCCCCGCCAGGCCGGCCGCGGGGAGGAAGAAAGTCGATTGGTGCTGCCGAGTGTCACTTGCGGAGGGCCCCTAGGACATTGGCATTTCTCTGGGGCCTGTCACGCCGCAGCGCCCAGTGAGCGTCCGAGGAGGGACGCTTCCGCCTGGCCCTCCGCTGATTGGTGCAGGTGAAGGCCAATCAGACTCAGGTCAAGCTCATTGGCGCTTTCCCGAAGTCTCCGGCGCTCAGGGAGGACTCGAGAATACAGACCGCCCAGCCTGTGTGGCTGTCGATTGGCCAATATTTCTGCCACTCATTCAGTTTGTGCATTCGTCACTGCCACGTCACCTCCTCCCATCAGTCGTCTCCGCGGCCCTTTTCCGCACTGACGGATTGGTGGTTGATATCAGCTGCTCAACTTTACTACCATTCACTGAACGAGTTGAGGGAAAAGGGGCGGAGTCTACGCTTCACATCTTCACTCTCATTTATTATTGGTCGGAGTGGATGTCACAAGTCTGCGAAGAGCCGGGGCGGTGATTGCAGATGATTGGCTCCTGGAATTGTCTGTGAACGCTGGAGCGTGACACTTCTGGCCAATGAAAGAGACCAATTGAGAGGGGGCGGGGCAGGCCAGGGCAACCAATAAAACCCGGGAAGAGCAATTCGGGGGCGTGCCCGCCTGCTTCCGCCTTTGGGGAAGTTTGCGAGAGGCAGACGACCGTCGGTTTCTCTAACGCGTGTTTTGATGCTGTGTGTCAGTGTTGGAGTAGCTCTTTCTGAGTTAAGATCGTCAGTTTGTTGGGAAGAGTGTTTCTGCGTAGTCGGCCTTTGCCTGAGTTTTCCCCTGCGAGTTGGAGGCCCTACTTCCTGGGGACCCCAGAAATGACTTCCCAGTGTCCTACAGAATCCACCATCCTAACTCCCTTTCCTGGTTTGCTCATCATAGTACCACACACCTTATCTCTTGATTCTAGACTGTCATATGCTACTCCTGATTTTGTCCCACGAGTTGCTGACCTAGCTGTGAGCGTAAGTGGACTTGGGAGGACCTGACTTTATTTGTACTTGGACCCATGTCTCTTAACAGTCCTAAAGGCCCTTGTTGGTTTTAGCATCATAAGCGCACGTGTGTGTGCTTAACTTTGCACGCAATATTTTAGATACACTGATTTTTTTCACACATCTGTGAAAGTCACAACTTGAGTAACTCATTTAACGTTTAGATGTCGTGAACTATTGTTAACAAATGGAGCTTTTCGGGAACCTGGCATCTCTTATATTTTGCGAGTTTTGCTGGACAATAGAAATAGCTGCTGGATGGAAAACAAATCGCTTTTTCTTGGCAGTGTGCTTCATAGTATCAGGAAAATAAAAATAGCCTTTTTTAGAAAACGTTTTTAAGAGAAGTGACATTTATTGAATTCTGGAGATAAAATGCACTTTGAAAATTTGCAGTTAGATGTAGGTTAGAGGATTGTTTTAACTCAACTAAAGTGAACCCCTTTATGCTTGAGTCATACCTTTAGTGGCCCTCTGACTGGGAAAGTTACTTAAGCATTCCCAGCCTCAGTTTTCATTTCTGTTAAAAAGGAATAAAACCTTATAGGGATATTGTTCTGATTAAATGCATAGATGAACATGTTTGATAAACTAAACAGCTAGAAAATGTAAGTTGTATTGCCGAATACATCCGTCTGTTTATTTGCCAACCACAAAGGAGAAACACATACTTTTACACTGAGGACAATCTGGCTGTCCCCACCTTAACCCAGTTAACCAACTGGGTTATCATTAACCCTGGGACAGCCAACATTTTTTATGAGGTCCCTTGTCTGCTGCTTTAAAAGATGCTTGTTCCTTGGAAGAAAAACTATGACCACCCTAGACAGCATATTAAAAAGCAGAGACATTACCATGCCAAAAAAGATCCATCTAGTCAAATCTATGGTTTTTCCAGTAGTCACGTATGGATGTGAGAGTTGGACAGTAAAGAAAGCTGAGCGCTGAAGAATCGATGCTTTTAAACTGTGGTGTTGGAGAAGACTCTTGAGGGTCCCTTGGACTGCAAGGAGATCCAACCAGTCCATCCTAAAGGAAATCAGTCCTGAGTGTTCATTGGAAGGACGGATGTTGAAGCTGAAACGCCAACACTTTGGCCACCTGATGTGAAAAACTGACTCATTGGAAAAGCCCCTGATGCTGGGAAAGATTGAAGGCAGGAGGAGAAGGGGACAACAGAGGATGAGATGGTTGGATGGCATCACCGACTCGATGGACATGAGTTTGAGTAAACTCTGGGAGTTGGTGATGAACAGGGAAGCCTGGTGTGCTGTAGTCCATGGGGTCACAAAGAGTTGGACACGACTGAGTGACTAAATTGAACTGAACTTGTGTGCTGCAGCATGAAGTATACAGCTCCACTTAATTAAGTTTTCTTGATCCTGAGTCCAGTCAAGCCTTTTTAGATTTATCCTTTGGTTTACAGAGGCTGGAGGAACCAGTTAAACAAAACCCCCCAAGGAGACAATTGAATAAATCAAGAATGTGAGAGTCTATAAGACAACTGATTTTACAGAAGATAAGATAGAAAGATTAAGGAAAAGTGATACAGTAACAGAGTCACGTGGTGATTGTTGTAAATTAAAAAAAGAAAAAAGAATGTTTTTAAAAAAGACCTCCCCAACAAATGCTTGACTTTATTTTGATTCTGAAACAAAACAAAATAAAAACAAAAAACTGTTCTTGTAGACATCTGAGGATAACTGGGGAAATTTGAAAATGGACTGGTATTAGATGATGTTAGGCAATTATTGCATTTGTTCAATGTAATACTGTATGATGGCTATGAATGAAAGTATCTTAAGACTCTGGAGAAATGTCACCCTCTTCAATAAATGGTTTTGGGGAACATGGCTAAACTACCTGCTAAAGAATCAAATTGGACTACTACTACAAACTCTCACACCATATTACAAAAGAAATTCAAAATGGATCAAAGACTTGAGTGTAGGGCCTGAAACCATAAAACTTCTAAAAGGAAGCTTAGGCAGTATGCTCTCTGACATAAGTCTTAGCAATATTTTGGAAGGTATGTCTCCTCAGGCAAGGGAAAAAAAATATAAGCAAATGGGGCCTACTTGAACTTAAAAGCTTTTGTACAGCAAAGAAAACTGTCAACAAAATGAAAAGACAGATTACTGAATGGGAGAAGATATTTGCAAACTATATTTGATAAGATATTAATATCTAAAATATACATAGGACTCCTACAACTCAACTTCAAAAAACCAAACAACCCAATTTAAAAATGGGCAGAGGCTCTGAATAGACTTTTTCCCGAAAAGACTTACAGATGGGCACCAGACATGTAAAAAGATGCTCAATATCATCTTTTCCCCTGATGATCCCTAATCATCAGGGAAAGGCGAATCAAAACCACAGTGTTTTATCACCTCACACTGTCAGAATGGCTATTATTTTAAAAAATATTTAACAAGTAACGAGTATTGGCAGAGGTGTGGAGAAAAGGGACCCTTTGTGCACTGTTGGTGGGAACGTGAGTTGGTACGGCCACGACGGAAAACAATACGGAGGTTCCTCAAAAACTAGAAGTGGAACAGCCCCATTCGATCCAGCAGTCCCACTTCTGGATATTTATCTGAAGAAAATGAAAATGCTAATTCAAAAAAGATATCTGCAGCCTCATGTTCACTGCAGCATTGCTTACAATAGCCAAGACATGGCAACAGCCTAGGGATGCACTGAGAGATGAATGGACAAAGAAAATGTAGAATATTACTAAACCATAAAAAGGATGGGGTTTTGCAACATGGATGGACCCTGAGGGAGCTCTGCTTACTGAAGTAAATGGAGAAAGACATGAAGGTATGTTATCAGTTATGGAATCTAAAAAAGTGAACAAACATATAACTAAACAGAAACAGAGTGGCAGATACAAAAAACGAACAGGTGGTCCTCAGAGGGGAGGCAGGTGGGGGAAGGAGAGGAATTAACCGGGAAGTTAAGAGGTTCACGCTTCCAGTTGCAAAAGTATGAAATGTAGATTGTGGGGAATAGAGTCATTATGTAATATCTTTGTATTGTGACAGATGGTAACTAGACATTCTGTGGCAAACATTTTGAAATCTATAGAAGTATCAAATCTCTATCTTGTGTAACAGGAACTAGCAGTGTTGTAGGTCGATTATACTTGAAGAACAAATTCATAGAAAAGGAGATCACATTTGTGGTAGGAGGCAGCGGCAGGGGGCCGAGAGGAGTAGGGTGAAGGTAGCCAATGGTTACAAGCATTCAGTTACAAGACTAATAAGTCCTAGAAACTGTAATGTACAGCTAATACTGCTCTACCTTATATATAAAAGTTAAGAGAGGAACTCCTCTAAGAGTGCTCATCACAGGAAAAAAGAATTGTTCTATTTCTTATGTATCTACGAGATGACAGATATGAACTAAACTTGTAGTCATCATTTCATGATGTATGTAAGTTGAATCATTGTGCTGGATACCTTAAACTTACACAGTGCTGTATATTAATTAGATCTCAGTAAAACTGAACAAAAAGAAACAGATTTTGGAGAAGTCTTAGGAATCTGTAAATTTCTTCTAAAAATGGTCAGAACAGGAAAGAAAGAAAGCCCCCCCTCCCAAAGTAATACAAACTTTGATATGCACACACACACACACATTTACATGTGTGTATCTGTGTATCTGACATGACTGAAGCAACTTAGCATAGCACATCTATATACCTGTACATAATAAAAGCAGACTGTTACCACTGTTCAGTCACCGAGTCGTGTCCGACTCTCTCAGACCCCATGGACTGCAGCACACCAGGCTCCTCAGTCCTCCACTGTTTCCCAGAATTTGCTTACTCACTCCAGCG